TCTCAACAAATTAGAATACTTCACAAGACCAATAAAAAAAAAACATTTTTAGTGAATTGTTGGCCTTCTGGAAAGTATGTTCATTTACTGTACATGTACTCAATACTTGGTAGGGGCTCCTTTTGCTTTAATTACTGCCTCAATTCAGCGTGGCATGGAGGTGATCAGTTTGTGGCACTGCTGAGGTGGTATGGAAGCCAGGTTTCTTTGACAGTGGCCTTCAGCTCATCTGCATTTTTGGTCTCTTGTTTCTCATTTTCCTCTTGACAATACCCCATAGATTCTCTATGGGGTTTAGGTCTGGTGAGTTTGCTGGCCAGTCAAGCGCACCAACACCATGGTCATTTAACCAACTTTTGGTGCTTTTGGCAGTGTGGGCAGGTGCCAAATCCTGCTGGAAAATGAAATCAGCATCTTCAAAAACTGGTCAGCAGAAGGAAGCATGAAGTGCTCCAAAATTAATTGGTAAATAGGTGCAGTGACGTTGGTTTTCAAAAACCATAATAGACCAACACCAGCAGATGACATTGCACCCCAAATCATCACATTTAGGCCTAAATTAAATATTCCACACTCATAATGGAGATAAGCACTGAAATTACATAAAGTCATTATGCAGAAGTTAAACCAAAAATTCTCTATGAATTAAGACATTATTAGTGGATGCGCTTAATCACTTTTCCGGTGGCATGCTATGTTTTAATGACAGCGAGGAGTGCTATAGATGCACAATAATATATAATAATTTATATATATATATATATATATATATATATATATATATATATATATATATATATATATATATATATATACACAATAATTTATATATAATTTATTATAATCTGTAAACTAAACTGCATATCTCATGTTATGAGAAAATATTTTTTATTGAGAACAATGATCAATGATGCGCAATACTATTTGGCCAGTGTAAAAGAATGAGATCAAATCTATCTGAGAACCATTTTAAATGGTTTTGTTTTATGGATATTTTGATATATTTATTCTAAAACATAACAAGGATATTGGATGATTCTTAGCAATAAAAATGTATGTATGGCACAAATGGCATTTATAGTCCATATCTCATATTTCCTTAATGTTTTGTACCTTTGGCGGTGTTAAACATGGTGTCATGTGGATGGGATTATGCATGGAAATGATATGGAGATGATGTTATGCATAGTAAAACTAGGTGTTGTAAGCTCCATATATGGCGATTTCTGTGAGGAGACGGGGTGGAGATGCATGTACGCACAATCTTCCCTGACTGGGATTTATGAAGGGATTTTTGTGCAAGGTCTGGTGTACGCATGGTTTCAAAAATCTGAAAACTTTTGTGCGTAAGTACGCTTTTAAGATGAAATCTACAGAGAGTTTTATAAATGAGACCCCAAGTGTGTGAAACCTGCCTCAGCCCTATGCCTAAAACCTGACAGCAGTGATTGGTTGGTAGTTATGTCTTTGCAAAACCTGGCACTAACTCTAAAGGAATAGATATCAAAATGCATAGGTGGTTGGTTGGCTCTGGCAAAAACACTAAACCAGGGCTGTCTAAAATTTGTAAAAAAGTGGCCCTTCAGAAGCAAGTTTGGCTTTCTCCTGCTCCAACACACCTGCATAAGAAGTTTTAAATAATCCTGAAGACCATAATTAGCTGGTTCAAGTGTGCTTAATTAGAGTTAGAGGCTGAGCTAAACTCTGCAGGAAGGTGGCCTTCCAGGAGCAAGACCGGTCACCCTTGCCCTAAACCTACCAGAAGATCAGAGGGCAATGACAGTTTAATGTTGTTCCAGGACCAATAAAGGATGCTGATCCAGAAACAATCTCCCACTTATGCAAATCACATTATGGGAATGCTTACAGATGGATGGAAGATCATGTGATCACATTCAAGCCGTATATCACAAAATCTCTATATACATAAATGACAGTGAACTACCTATGTTCTCTCCCTTTATGTAAGGTCCCGATTTCCATCTAAGAAGCAAGGCAGATGATTGCCCTTAAACTTGATGATGGAGGAGGACAGTGGGATGCATCTGCAATCCATCCCACAGTGGGGGCCTGGCGGGCAGGCTAACTCCTGCGGTGGAGTGGGCTGATAGATGAAGCCCTCTTTCCTGGCCTGCCACACGCCCAGACAGGGCGAGCTCCATGTGGGAGCAGCAGGCCCCATAAGATGACGAGCCAGACTGCAAGGAGGAGACAGGTCACAGTGGCCTCATTAACACCACCACAAATACACACACTTGCCAAGCAAGCAACACACTCAATCTCACACACTGCACTGCACTGCGAGGATGGAGCTGAAGTGTTTTTTGATCCGAGCCTTTGGTATTTCAGATGATGGGATTCAGGTAATTGTGTTTTCCCGGGGATCAGGGTCAGGGGAAATGTGAATGGCTCTTGCACTGTGGGTGGGATTCACCTGCAGTGGAATTTCAGCTTCAGATTTGCCCTGTCCAATAGCTGGACGGTGCTTGAAATCCGTTTCATCAGAAGATGTTCTTTGCATTACTCAAAGGGCAATTGTATCTTTTGCCAATTAGCAGAACAATCAACATTCAGAGAACACACATACCTTACCAAGAAATTTTATTTTTCCTTTGGATGAACTGTGAGTGTTGCTAAGATGTTCCATAAAATTACATACAATGATTTGTAGATTAAAACACCTTTACATAGATTTGCTTATCAGGTTATCAGCCACAAATAAGTGAAAAAGAACATTCTGTTATGGACATTTACTCACAAGTTTATCAACCGAAAATAAGTTGAAACCCTTCCAACATCATCTCCAGAGTGTACATGATTGCATTTTTAACCACCTGGATATCTTTCTCACTAATGGCACACAAGCACTTTGTTGAACATGTTTCTTCACTTGTCTCCCATGCCTTAGTCTAAACTGTAGTACTTTGTTGTGCTAATAAGCACTATTTAGCTATGACCAAGGCAACTGTATTTCTCAATCTTCAAGTTGTGATGACATCTACAGTTTTAAAAGAGTAAATGGATTCTTTACTATTGCATTCCTCTAAGCCTCGCCGATTACCATTTGGTAATCCTTTTCCTTTCCCTTGCTGTGATGACTAAAATCACAGCTTTGAGAAGTATTGCAGAGCTAGCTGATTGATATTGGAAGCATTTGCGGCGAGTACCCCTTTTTGCAATAGCAGGATTCCTGTTTCAATTTTCAAGGATCCTGATAGTTTATAGAGGCTGTCAGAAAGACCCAGTTCCCTCCAGTGCTGCTTTTTTATCTCATCAAACCAAGTAGGGAATATACTTTTATTCAGGGGAAACATCAGCATTGGTAATATCCAATTTACTGAGAAAGGAATGAGGCGGCTGATGTGACCGTATAATAACATGCTACATGAAGCCTGGCAATATGTGAATAGAAAATGCATTTATGGTAAAGGAAATCTATCCAAAACCAAAGTAAATCAAAGCAATTAATGACGCACTGATGCAATCTGAAGAATGCAAACAAACACGCTAAATTATTCATGGCAAGAAGCGAAGTGTAGAAACAACCTAAGACCTTATCTGAATCTTCAATGATTGCTTAATAGAGAAAGCCAGACACAACTTTCAATCTATATAGAAAAAAAGAGTGAACGAATTACAGTGGCTTCCTTTACAACAGTCTCCGACAGATAATCTCAATTGCTTGTATCTCAACATGTACAATGTCACGGCTCCATTCTAAAGTCTTACAACACTACAAACAGAATGTTTATCTTTATAATGCACTATATGTGTTGCTTGCATGGTATATACATATTTATCGGAAAGGAGTTGATAGTTACAGTTAACATTTGTCTTATGATTCTGAACATTTGTTTTATGATTAAACATTCAAGTTCAACAGTTAATTTGGATGTCATGGAAACCCACAAAACCAATGGATTTTCCTATAATTATGTCTCACATCTCAGAAAAGCCTCTTGGGAATCTGTTTTCGATTTACATATAGCGTCCGCCACAAAGATATGGTACAAGATGATAAATGTAACCTTGGTAAGTCCTGTGAAAAACCGCTGCCTCTTTATGGCTGCATAAATACATAACTATCTCTGCATGTTAATTTACACACTTTGTTTGCAATTCATTGCTGGCTGACCGTCCATCATCTCTGACATCAATTAAAAGCACTTTGCTGTTTTATGCAAAATCTCAAACAGGTTGTCAACAGAAAAGCAACACATCTGCAACACGTCTTTCATTTATATTGTCCATGCATTTATAGCACACACGCTAAACAGTTTAGTCAACCATAAATAAGTAAAGACAACACTTTTGCTCATATCAGTTGTGTGGAACCACGAATAACAACCATAGGATATTATTTTTAGACAGCACCTGTTGATTACAAGGTAATTTTGACTCAGTTTGCAAATATAATAGATAAAAAAGGGCTTTTTGGTGGAGGAACTTCTGGTTACTCTTGTAAGTCCAGTGGATTCAGTTATTTCTGTGTAAATTGACTGCTAGATCATGTCTCGTACATGTCTCTCTCAGTTTCCTTCTGCACAAGTAACCAGGTTTACCAAGTTTACATGTTTATGATATGGATTGAAGTGTTATAGTTGTTCTTTATAATGTGTTATTCTGTTATATTGTTATTCCTTATTTTACTCTTTATGTTTTTTTGTGGTTGTTAATTATATTGTGATAGTTAATCTATGAATGTAAATACTTTTTAAACTAATCATTTATAACAATCTATGAAAATAACTATATTTGATATAAAAATGTATTCATAATTTACTACTGTTAATGGATTTTTCATTCTTTCTTACAAACTAATTGATGACTCAACAGTTAATTGACAGTTAACCATGGAAAGAGCATTTAACACACGATATTACTTTTTCTCAGTCCTTTGCATTGTGACGTAAAGATAATTATGCAAAGTTGAGTATTAAGGGGATTTGAATTTGACAAAGACTTTTCTTTTTCTTCTGTGGAATGAAATGTTCTCTTACCTTCAGAATGGTGGGACAGGGTCAGAAGGCTCACACAAGAGGCACCGATTCCTGATCCAAAAACAGTGATGCGGTTGGAATCACCGCCGAAATAGCCAATGTTCTCGCTTATCCAGCGCAGAGCCTGGATCTGATCCAAAAGGCCATAATTCCCTTTAGCAGCCTGGTCTCCTGTGCTGAGGAACCCTGTAACAGATCGAGGGCACATAGTGTTAAGAGAATCTGTAGCATCCGAGGATCCTTCTTAAGGCTCTCGTCAAACAAACTCATAGATTTAAATTTCTTAATTGGTCTCATATTGTTTTTGCAATGGACTTTAGACATTGCATTGTAATTTGAACAAATGTTAATATCATAAAGAAATAAAAAAGACAAATAGCAGAAATGATAGTGTTCTGCTCTAGAAGGATATCTCAAGAAAACCATGCACCATTACAAAATAATAAAAGCAAATGTAGACTGCTGTATTGATAGTGCATTGACCAATATTTGTGCTCAACCACATTATTGTGCTAAATCAGAATTTCGAACCAGATTTCCTAGCAGGGAATAGAGAAACAAGACTGAAACAATGTTCATCTACATGTTGCCTCCCAGAAGAGCTATTATTAGCACTGCTGACAAGGAAATGCATTTTCTGATACATAGATAGGTTAAATGTTTTGTCTGGATTGCTTCCTGTCTTCACTCCGACACTGGATGGTTAGCTTTGACAACCTGACATCTCTAGAGGGGAGGCCTCAAATTGCAGGGCTGGTGTTAACATGTGTGGCACTGTGTGTTCGTGCGTATGTGAGAGAGAAAATGAGAGACTGAAATAGAGAAGGGGAGAGTGGGCGAGAGAGATAAGAGGGGATTCACTAAACAGCTGTGCGACTTTAGCATGCAGCATTTCGGTGCAAACCCCTGCATCTTATTCACTAACCACCTGCAATTCAGTTTAAGCAGGCACAAGATGTGCTGTAGTGCTACACCATGTGTAAATTAAACCATATTTTATAGAATCTGCTATATTGATCGTGGCAAATGGTCAACATGGTGATCAAATAAAGCAGAAGAGCATTACAATCGAAGATAATTTCTCTCTACAATTAAGGAAGCGATGAGTGATGGGTAATACCAAATATACTGACAGACCAATTGGATGTAATCTCAATTTGCTAGCAGTGGCTGAAAGCTAGAAAGTAGGAAGCCTGTCCGAATCCAATATTTGAACCTCCAGTCTGCTGAGTTGCCTGGTTGTATTCTTGACTTAGCGAAAAGAATAAAAGTGCCTTCTTATGAAGCAGTTGAAAGAAAGAAATGAATTCATAATGCATGATTCCATTTCCTCCAAGAAACAAGCGTTGTACTCACAAAACATTTGCTTGGATTGAATTTCCTTGGGAGGTATCTTTATGCAAAAATGCAAGCGAGGCAGCTGCCTTATTTTTGGACACAGCTTAACATTAGCATGTTAGCACACTGAATGGACAGTGATTAAACACCTCTTTACTGTATATCAGCAAACGACTGTAATGTGAAGGGAGTGCTGTTCCTGCATGGAAGGTTCACCATCTTGTTCCCCAAATCCATTTTTATTGTGCTTTCATCAGGAACAAATCAATTAAACAGCATGTAATATATTAGCATATCAAAAAAAGCATGTTTTTTTGAAAGGCTGCTTCCTGTACAGAGGAGCGTGCACAGATAAAGGAAATAGGTTTAAAGAGAGCAGCTTTCCTGAACATCTCAAGGGCATTGGCAGACATTCTGCACTTCATTATGTCACTTTATATTGACGTAGAGCCGCACGCCGAATCAAATGCGAGTTAATTCACTTATATTCATGCAAAACACACCGCTGCATTTTGCTTCTCAAATGCTCGTTAATGAGCACAACCAAAAATGCGATTATTTGCTGGAAGTGAGATGTGAGACCTCACCCAAGCACACAACTAGAGGTGTAAAAGAGCAGCAATTTTCTGTATTAAATTATAGTAATGTAGTAATAACATCCATGTAAAATCTCTTGTATTTTTTATTTTTTTTGTCAACATCCCATTACAATGACATCTTTGGCATACTTTATAACATAATTATGAATATGGTTTTTAATTCATCTTATTTAATTATTTTATAATCATTTGACATTTGTTTTATTGTTAATATTATTCATTTGTTTTATTTTGTTATACATTTTACATAAAAACACAACAAATGGTCTTAAAAACAAGTAGGAATGACTTGGACTGAAAATTATTCTATTTATTATAATAATATTGAAAATATTATTTATTTATTATTGGGGGTGTTCATGATAAGTTGGAAACAAGATCCAGAACTATTACAGAAGACGAAGCAAACAAACCCACAGGCTACATTTAAAAATATATTCTCCATGGTTTGTGGATGCATTTTAATTGGAAATGTGGTAGCAAATGTTTTCTTTGGAAAGCAATTAAGATTATATAAAGATGGTTTTTATGCATCGTAGCTTTTATACAGGGCTGAAGTAGAATTTACAAAGCACTGGGGTCATACTGAGGTTGGACGAGCCATTATATTTGCTTTTGCTTCAATCTGTTATTGCCTGTTACATCACTTCACTATGTTTATGTTGTGTAGGACTCTCACAGAATTGTACACAAAGCAATGTAATCTGCTATCTGTACATTTTCAGCATCATATATGGCCTCTAGAGGTGATGGTACTTGTTAATTTGACGATAATGCAATACATAACAATATTATTATCCCTTTGGGGAATAGAATATGCTTTCCACAGGCAATTTTATGCAGAAAAAAGCTCATAAGGTGACTTCCATTATCAGTAGTACTTAACATCACTAAAGGTGATGAAACACAGACACTCCTATAAGAGTTTTCACTTTATCTACATAGTGATTTTAACAATAGCTCTTGTTCACAATGCAGACATGAAGAGGGTGAGAGCTCTGTCTCAGGCAAATTCTGCACGTTCACATTCCACCATTGTAAAACACTTTTTGGCTCAATCGCGCACACAGATATCGATCGATGCGGCAACAATGACATGACATTGAGCTGGTGGGAGTTGGGCAGGAGCTGACACTGGAATATGACCACATTAAATATACAGCAAGCCCACTGAGATTTCCTCACCTTCTTTCATCACTAAAGCCGTCAGGCTGATTGCATGCTGCTGTCCATCCTATGCTTCGCCCTCTGTTCATCTACCCTGTCACCTGGACGGCTCATCAGAAAGTCTCATGCTTGGAATATCAAAATATTCCACTCGGTTCCACATTTCATGTGTTCTCAAGAGCTCAAAACATCACATGCTTAGCATTTTTAGAATCATCTAATCTATAATAGAATGGCACTATAGAATCTGCAAATGTATGTTTGTCTTGTTTCCCATAAAACTAAATAAATATAATAATATTATACAGCTGCAAGTAGCATCTATCAGGGCCAAGCCCACTATCTGCAAAAATAATAACACATTATTTACATTTACATTTAGTCATTTAGCAGACACTTTTATCCAAAGCGACTTAAAAAGGAGGACAATAGAAGCAATCAAAACTAACCAAAGAGCAACAATATGGAAGTGCAAATGACAAGTCTTGGTTAGCCTAACGCAGTACACGTAGCAAGGTATTTTTTTAAATATATATTTATATATACAGTATATATATATACACACACACACACACACACACACACACACACAGAAAAACAAGTAGATAGAATAGAAAAAATAGAGAGCTAGTGTTAGTTTTTTTTTATAAAAAAAGATAGATAAAGTAGAATTAAAATAGAATAGAAAGTGCTAGAGTTAGAGGGTCAAATAAAGATGTAACAGATGTGTATTTAGTGGTTTCTTGAAGATGGCTAAGGACTCAGCTGCTCGAATTGAGTTGGGCAGGTCATTCCACCAGGAGGGAACAGTTAATGAAAAAGTCTGTGAAAGTGATTTTGTGCCTCTTTGGGGTGGCACAATAATGCGTCGTTCACTTGCAGAACGCAAACTTCTAGAAGGCTCATGACTCTGAAGTAATGAATTTAGGTAAAGGGGTGCAGAGTCAGTGGTGGTTTTGTAGGCAAACATTAATGCCTTGAATTTTATGCGAGCAGCTACTGGTGGCCAGTGCAAATTGATGAACAGGGGTGTGACGTGTGTTCTTTTCGGCTCATTAAAAATTAATCTTGTAGCGGTATTTTGGATTATTTGTAGAGGTTTGATAGAAGTGGCTGGAAGACCTGCCAAGAGAGCATTGCAATAGTCCAGCTTGGATAGAACAAGAGCTTGAA